GTAGTAGTAGTAGTAGTAGTAGCAGCAGCAGTAGTAGTAGTAGTACTAGTAGAAGTAGTAGTATAAGTAGTAACAGTAGCAGTAGAAGTAGTAGTAGTAGTAGTAGTAGTAGTAGTAGTAGTAGTAGTAGTAGTAGTAGTAGCGTAGTAGTAGTAGTAGTAGTAGTAGTAGTAGTTTCGTTCGTAATCGTGGTGATGTTGGAGGTGGTGGTTGGTTTGGGGTCGTGGTGGTGGCTGTGGTGGTCGTCGTCGTGTCGGCGGCGGCGGCGGCGGCGTCGTAGTTAGCGTAGCAGTGTGGGTATAGTATAGTAGTAGTAGTAGTAGTAGTAGTAGTAGTAGTAGTAGTAGTAGTGGTAGTAGTAGTAGTGATTGTAGTTGTTGTGGTAGTGGGAGTCATAGTAGTTAGTATAGTAGTAGTAGTAGTAGTAGTAGTAGTAGTAGTAGTAGTAGTAGTAGTAGTCGTAGTAGTAGTAGTAGTAGTAGTAGTAGTAGTAGTAGTAGTAGTAGTAGTAGTAGTAGTAGTAGTAGTAGTAGTAGTGGTAGTCATTGTGGTCGCAAGGCGTCCCGGTGGGGTTCGGGAGGACAGGATATCTCGATATCTCGATATCTCGATATCGGGGGCGGGGACTCGATATCTCGACTCGATATCTCGATGGCTCGATATCTCGATATCGGGGGGCGGGGACTCGATATCTCAATATCTCGATATCTCGATGTCTCGATATCTCGATATCTCGATATCGGGGGGCGGGTCCTGGGGGAACTCGATATCTCGATATCTCGATATCTCGATATCGGGGGCGGGGCCTGGCGGGGACTCGATATCTCGATATCTCGAAATATCGATATCGAGGGCGGGGCTGTGCGGAGACTCGGGATGTCGATATCTCCGTGCCGCGAGGGGGAGCGTTTTATCCGATGCCGCTGCCTACCGATGTCCACAATTTTGCAAACTGTGTCCAGAGGTTGAGATACCGAGATACCGAGATCTCGAATTAATTACCAAGAAGGCGCCCCCCTCCCCCCATCACTTCCTTGGCCCCGCCCGCCAGGGCCGCCCGCAAGGCCCCCGCGATATGGAAAAACATATAGTCCAAGCGAAAGTGCTCGCTCCCGCCTCGGCGCCGCTATCATTTTCGACGCAAGGAGAAGGAGGAGGAGGAGGAGGAGGAGGAGGAGGAGGAGGAGGAGGAGGAGGAGGAGGAGGAGGAGGAGGCAGGTTGAGGAAGAGGAGAGGAGGAGGAGAGAGGCAGGAGGAGGAGGAGGAGGAGGAGGAGGAGAGGAGGAGGAGGAGGAGGAGGAGGAGGAGGAGGACGACGAGGAGGACGAGGAGGAGGACGAGGAGGAGGACGAGGAGGAGGTGTTCCTGGGGGACCCTTGCGAACTTTTTGGGCCGTCTTGGCGTCTTCGGCCGCCTCGGAGCCGCCCGTGCCGAAAACACCGGTCTGCCAGGTGACCCAGTGTTTTTGCGATGTGCGTTTGGATGGTAAAATTACAGCACTGGCGGCCCGCCGTTTCAAACATGTCACCGGCGCCGAGACGGGAGCGCGCACTTTCGCCCGAATCATGTAAATTCACACATCAAATGCACGGCATTTTGCCTCGCAGGCCGCCTTGGCGGAGACGCGCGGGGAGGCGGAGGAGGAAAAGGAAGAGGAGGACGAGGAGGAGGAGGAGGAGGAGGAGGAGAACGAGGAGGAGGAGGAGAAGGAGGAGGAGGAGGAGGAGGAGGAGGAGGAGGAGGAAGAGCAGCAGCAGCAGCAGCAGCAGCAGCAGCAGCAGCAGCAGGGGCAGGAGGAGAAGAAGGAGGACGAGAAGCAGGAGGATGACGAGGAGGAGGAGGAGGAGGAGGAGGAGGAGGAGGAGGAGGAGGAGGAGGAGGAGGAGGAGGAGGAGGAGGCAAGTGTTCCCTCCCGTCTTTCCTTCATGCTGCGCCTCCCCCCTCTCCACCCCCGTCCCTCTGCCCTCCCCGCCGTTTGCCTGCGTGTACCTTACCCTCGCACCCTCTCCGCTCCCTCCCTTGCTTCCCGCCCATCCCTCTTCTCCAATCGCGTCCCCTCTCCCCGCTCATCTTCCTCCTCCTCCTTCCTGATCCTCGTGCTCGTCCCCCTCCATCCTGATCTTCGTCCTCTTCCGGATCCTCGCTTCCCGCCCATCCCTCCTCTGCGTATGATGGAGATGTCCGCTCACCCAGGCCCTGGCCAAGATATCCAGATATCGAGTCCCCGCCTGGCCGCGCCCCCGATACGGAGAGATCGAGATATCGAGATATCGAGTCCCCTTCCGGGCCCGCACCCGATACCGAGATATCGAGATATCGGGATATCGAGTCCCCGCCTGGCCGCGCCACCGATACCGAGATATCGAGCTATCGAGATATCGAGACCCCGTCCTGGCCGCGCCCCACATATCGAGATATCGAGATATCGAGATATCGAGTCCGAGCGAAACAACCACCCTGGTTAACCGGGACTCCTGGCCCCCACCCTGTAGTTTTGACAATTTTGGCGTATTTTTTTTTGGTATTCTTTATTTTTCGTCGAAAATCCCCCCTGTAGGGGGACACGCCCGACTTAAGGCCAGCCATGGCCATGGCGCGTGCGCGGGCACGCCATCGCGCAGGCATCGGTCTTGGACGCGCAGGGCAAAGCGGCCCCGGATTTGATCGTCTGCCTCGAGTGTGGGGGCGAGCGCGCGGCGCCGCGCGCGGCTGGCCGAGCGCACCTGGCTTGGGCAGCGAAGGGCCCTGGCAAGAATCGCCAGCGAGCTCGCCTGAGGCGGCTGGTTTTAAGTCGGGCGTGTCCCTCTACAGGAGGAAAATTCAAAAATAGGAAAAACAAGATCTGGGGATTATTTTTCGCGCATTTTTTGACTATTTCGCAGTATTTTTTGAATATTTTTATTTTTCGTCGAAAATCCCCCTGTAGGGGGACACGCCCGACTTAAGGCTGGTTGAAACACCCGCGGGAGCGGGCAGAGGCACCCTGTCGACGCAACTGAGGGGTCCTGGTGACGCCTGCATCGCGCTGCGGGCGCCCAAGCCGGGAAGCGAGGGGACTGGTGGCCAAAGAGACCGAGGCCAAGGCCGTCGCGAAGCTCGGCTGGACAAACACAAGGTTACTGAGCTGCTCGGCTTCGTTAGCCTGGACGTCGCCGTCGAGTGGGAACGGAAGCAAGCGGCGCAGCTCTGGGAACCGCTCATGGACGGCCAGCTGGGGGACGACTGAATTCAGGAGGGAAAAAAACACAGACACAATTAATCGTCGATTCCCCAGAAAATATGGGAAAGTATGGGAAGTGGGGGGGAAGACAACAAACCCAGAAGATATGGGGAAATATTGGGAATCCTGTTATTTGTGTCTATCTATTTGTGTGTCCTAGGGCCCCTTCATGAACCTGGATTTGTCCCCTCGGGATCTGAAGCGGCTGGGCGCCTGAGCAGTGGCTCGCGGCGCTGGCAGGCGAGGGTTTTCCGACCAAATCAGCTTCCAGCTTCCAACCTCCTCTTCCTCCTGCTCCTCCTTCCGAGGCGGAAATTTGTCCATATCCACCGCCTGGAGGGTCAGTTTTCGGAGCCTCGGCAGGCGGTGGATATGGACACATTCGGGCCTCCGGGGGCCGAAATATATTCGTATCCAGCCCGCTGGGGCACCAGGACGTCGGCTCCCGGGCGGTGGATATGGATAAATCCCCGCCCCGCCACGCACTCCTGCTTCTCTTTATAGCTCCTCCGTGTCGCACCCCGAGACGTGTCGGTAGGGCGGGCCAGGCGTTTCGCTTGAGATTTCCTCCTCGCCATGGTCCTGAAGCTAGAGATTTGCAACAACTTCACGGATGGAGGGCTGATCTTTTTCAATATGTGGGTCTCGCATTCGTGTAGCGCACATTGGTTTGAAAAGTGTGCAGCGTTTTCACGGATGGAGGACAGGTGGTTTTCAACATGTGGCTCTCGCATTCGCGCCGCGCACATTCTTATGATTCTGCTGCAGCTTCAAGAGTGGAGGGCGGCTTTTTTTCAAAATGTGGCTCTCGCGTTAGAGCAGCGCGCATTCGTCTTAAAAGTCTGTGACCGTTTAAAGGGTTCACAGTGTTGAAGTCCCAGCTGGCACGATTCAGGGTGGTCTGGATTTGCAATCACGTTGATTTGCGGTGTTGGAGCCCCCAGGAGTGTTGTTCTGGCGCGATTTCGGATTGTCAGGACGCGAAAATCAGGTTGATGCGCGGTGTTGAAGTACGGTTATCTTCTGATGGGCCATTTCCAGCTTTGAGAACATGTTCTTTGTAGGGACCTATGAAGCGGATGTGCTGCAATATCGCTGATGCGTTTTGGGTTCACGCTGTTCCTCCTATCCCTCCTCCTCCTCCTCCTCCTCCTCCTCCTCCTCCTCCTCCTCCTCCTCCTCCTCCTCCTCCTCCTCCCCTCTTCTTTCTCCCCCCCCACCCACGCCTCCCCCTCCTCCCCCCCTCCCCTCCCCTCCCTCCCTCCCTCCTCCCCCCTCCCTGCCGCCCGCGCGCCCCTCCGGGGCTCGGGCCCCGCTCCTCTCCCCGCCCCCGGTGGCGGCCGGGGCGCCGGCCTGGGGCCCCGAAGGGGCCGCCGGCCCGCTGCCCCCACCTTGGCGGCGCGCACAAGGGGGTAGGGGGGAGGGGGGGAGGCTTCTTAGAAGGAGGAGGAGGAGGAGGAGGAGGAGGAGGAGGAGGAGGAGGAGGAGGAGGAGGAGGAGGAGGAGGAGGAGGAGGAGGAGGAGGGGGTATGGGGGAGGGGGGAAGGCTTCTTAGAAGGAGGCTGCTTCTCAGAAGGCGCCGGCCTTGCCTCTACAAAGAGGGCCCGCGCCTTCCGAGAAGCAGGGGTGCTTCTGAGAAGCCTTCCCCCTCCCCCTACCCCCTTCTGCGCGTGGCCAGCCACCCCCGCCACGGCCCGCGGCGAGCGCAGCGGCCGCCGACGCGGTGCCCTGGGCCGCTGCCGCCGCCGCCGCCGCCGCCGCCGCCACCGCCGCCGCCGTCGTCGTCGTCGTCGTCGTCGTCGTCGTCGTCGTCGTCGTCGTCGTCGTCGTCGTCGTCGTCGTCGTCGTGTCGTCGTCGTCCGTCGTCGTCCGGAGTCGCCGTCGTCGTCGTCGTCGTCGCCGCCGCCACCGCCGCCGCCTCCTCCGTCGCAGCCGCCGCCTCCGCCGCCGTTTGCGGCGGCGTCGGCTCCTTTCGCCGACGGGGGAGGTGGGGGGGATGGGCTGGAAGGGGAGATAGGATCGGGAGGATAGCAGGCGTACAAGATCAGCGGCTCCGCTGGGAGTGACATTGTCCCAGGGAGTGACATTGTCCCAGTCCTCACGATAGCCAGTGTCACAGGCGAGTGAAATTCTGTTGGGGAGCGAGCGTCACGGTGAATTCTGCACGTGCGACGGATTCACGTTTCATTGTTTGACCCAGTAGCATATCTGAACAAGTGACGATCGTTTCATGCGCTCCACCTGATATTCCCAAAGGCTTCGAAAGAGAAGTGTGAAGCCGAGGGGAATGACAAGGGGTCCTCGGCAGACAGATGGAGTGATGGGGCCGTGCTTCCTACGCTCTGGGGCCATTGGTACCTCGGGGCCCAGGCACACATCCTCCTCCTCTTGCCGAAAGGCCTTCCTCCCTTTCTTAGGGGAACGACAAATGACAGAAACTTAAAAACTTGGAGGTCCTCGCGGATTTTTTGGATCCGCGCTGGACCCCCCTCCCTGGCGCGTGGAGCGCGCCAGGGGCGGAGCCGGAGGCGCCGCCAGGGGGGCCAAGCGCCGATCCGAGAAATCCGCGCAGACCTCCGAGTTTCTAATGTCTATGTCACTGTTCGTTCCCCTGACTCTCCCTCCCCCTCCCTCCCCTCCTCCCTCGCCTCCGTTTCACGTAACTTTTTACACGTCTCGCATGCACGCCTCACCATACACAATACTATTTCAGAGGCCACGGCCTCATTCACCTGGTCTCCAGTAGGCCCGGACTGCTGTCCGCATTGGTGGTCGTTCGTTCGTTCGTCCCCTCCTCCCTCGCCTCCCTCGCCCCCTCCCTTCTTGTTCCATGCGGGCGCCACACCCGTGAGAGGTTCCCCGAGCTTCCTGCCGACGTCTCGGCGCCACGGCGCCACCGCTGCGCGCCTGGGGGGCCGGGCCCCAGAGCGCATGCGAGCGTCCCTCCGTCCGTCGCCCCCGCGAGCCCTCTTGGACTGCTTCGCCGCGGGCTTCCCTCTCTCCCTGAGCGGCCGCTCCTCCTCCTCCTCCTCCTCCATTCCTATTCCTCACAAGTAACTGTTCCTTGTCGCACCCCGAAGCCAGTTTTTAGGGCGGGCTGGGCGTTTCGCTTGAGGCTTCCTCACCATTCTATGACTTTGAAGCTTTAAAACAGGCAGCAGTTTCACAGATGGAGGGCGAAGCTGTGGCTCTCGCCTTAGCGCCGCGCACATTCGTTTTAAACATCATCTGCAAGGGTCTCATGGATTGAGGGCGGGCCGTTTTCAAAATGTGGCTCTCGCCTCAGCGCGCCGCGCACATTCGTTTTGAACATTTGCAAGATTTTCACGGATTGAGGGCGGTTGGTTTCCAACATGTGGCTCTCGCTTCAGCGCCGCGCACATTCGTTTTACAACCATTGCAAGAGTTTCACGGATTGAGGGCGTGCCGTTTTCAGAATGTGGCTCTCGTCTTAGCGCTGCGCACATTCGTTTTAAACATTTGCAAGAGTTTTATGGATTGAGGGCGGTCGTTTTCAAAATGTGGCTCTCGTCTTAGCGCCGCGCGCATTCGCTTTAAAAAGTTGCAAGAGCTTCACGGATTGAGGGCGGGTGGTTTCCAACATGTGGCTCTCGCTTTAGCGCCGCGCACATTCGATTTAAACATTTGCAAGAGTTGCACCGATTCCCATGGTCAGCGTTACACAATCTGTGTTCTGCACGGGTTCAGGATTTCAGGATTTTGCGGGTGCAACAGTTATGTTGGTTTGCGGTGTTGAAGTTCCAACCATGGCATTCTGGTACGATTTCAGATCGTCAGGGCGCAGCAGTCAGGTTGATCCGTGGCGTGGACCCGAGAACAAAGTTTTGGCATGCTTCAAGGTCTTCAAACGGTTGTTTTCCAACGATGCCGTTCCCACAATGGGAATGAACCTTTAAAAGGGGCCTATGAAGAGGGAGCTTGGAGGGAAGTTTAGTTTCAACATCGTTGGTGACTCTTGGGTTTACACTGGTCCTCCTCCTCCCTCGTCCTCCTCCTCCGCCTCCTCCTCCTGCTCCTCCTCTCTCCTCCTCCTCCTCCTCCTCGTTCTCCTCGTCCTCCTCGTCCTCCTCGTTGTCCTCCTCTTCTTCCTCCTCCTTTCCTTTCTCCTTATAAATAATTTCTCCCTGTCGCACCCTGAGGCCAGTTTTTAGGGCGGGCCGGGCGTTTCGCCTGAAACTTCTGCACCATTTATAACTCTGCAGCTCAAGAATTGGCAGCAGCTTCGCAGATGGAGGGCGGGAAACACGGCTCTCGCCGTAGCGCCGCGCGCATTCGTTTTAAACATTTGCAAGAGTTTCACGGATTGAGGGCGGGTCGTTTTCAAAATCGGACTCTCGCCTGAAACGCTGCGCACATTCGTGTTGAACATCGTTTGCAAGAGTTTCATGGATTGAGGGCGGGCCGTTTTCAAAATGTGGCTCTCGCCTCAGCGCGCCGCGCACATTCGTCTTACAACAATTGCAGTAGTTTCACGGATTGAGGGCGGGTGATTTTCAAAGTGTGGCTCTCGCTTTCGCGCTGCGCACATTCGCTGTAAGCAGTTGCAAGAGTTTCACGGGTACCCGTGATCAGCGTACCAGAAATGGTATATTGGAAGGATTCAGGCTTATGAGTGTGCACCAGTTATGTTGATTCGCTGTGTTCAAGTCCCAGGGATGGCGGTCTGGCACAATTCAGGATCGTCAAGACGCAACAGTCAGGTTGATCCGTGGCGTTGAACTTCCGAGAACGATGTCTTGGCATGCTTCAGGGTCTTCAAACAGTTGTCTTCCAACGAGGCAGTTCCCTCAATAAAGATGAAACGTTGTAGGGGCCTAAAAAGAGAGATCTTGGACGGAGGGTGCATTCCAACCTCGTTGATGCGTCTTGGGTTTATATTCGTCCTCCTCCTCCTCGTCCTCCTCCTCCTCCTCCTCCTCCTCCTCCATCTCCTCCTCCCCCCCCTCCCCCCGACGCCCGCGGCGGCGTGCCTGCCCCGCCCGGGCCGCGCCGCGCTTCACCACCGGTACTGCTGCCCCGGGGCCTCACCAGAGACATCAGTGCTTCACCACAGGCCCTTTGGCGCTGCTCCGACATTAGGCACGCAGCCTGTGGTGTGCGTCGCCACGGGCCCTCGTCCTCCCCCCTCGTCCTCCCCCGCTCACCTCCGCCGGCGGCTCCCGACCGGGACGGGCGGCCACGCCAGACAGGGTTTCTCCCACGCTCCTCCGCGGGCTCCCCGCCGCACTTTGCGCGGGAGGGCCCTCCGCCCCCCCCCTTCTGGAGGTTCGTGTTTCAAGCTCCGAGGTGCGAAACCCGAACCTCTGGAGGTTAGGGTTAAGTCGGGCCCGTCCCTCTACAGGGGGGCATGTTCAAAAATAGTCAAAAAATAACCTGGAGACTTTTTTGTTAGTATGTTTTGACCATTCTGGCATATTTTTGAGTATTCTTTTTTATTGTTTCGTGGAAAATCCCCCTGTAGGGGGACACGCCCGACATGACCCTAACCTGCGGAGGTTAGGGTTCCAAGCTCCGAGGTGCAAACCCTAACCTCCGGAGGTTCGGGCTCCAACCTCTGGATTCCAGGGTCTGCCAGCCCCCCTCCAACTCCCCCTCCCCCTCCAGCCGGAGCCCAGAATTTCTGCAAACCGGGGCCCACAGAGGGCAGGGCGGGGCCCAGCACTGACCGCTTGCCTGCCGGAGCGGCAGCGCGCAGACGGACTAGACTTCAGTCGGGCCCGTCCCTCTACAGGGGGAATGTTCAAAAATAGTCAGAAAAAACAGCCTATGGGGACTATTTCTGGAGCATTTTTGGACCATTTTGGAGCATTTTTTTAGGCTTCGTGGGGTTCTGGTTTTCTTCCCTGCCGCGCCGCACCCGCGACACACACACACACACACACACACCTCACTCTTCGTACAGCACAGCACAGCACAGCACATCACAGCACAGCACAGCACAGCACAGCACAGCTCAGCTCAGCACAGCACACAGCTCAGCTCAGCTCAGCACACAGCACAGCTCAGCACAGCTCAGCACAGCCCAGCACGGCTCAGCTCAGCTCAGCACAGCACAGCTCGTGGCACTTTCTCGACACCACAGGGGGTGCGCAGGGGTTGGTCTCTCAGCTCGGCCGCTATCCACGACACTGGCGAAAAGCCTAGCAGGCGTGGCGCTCTCTCTCGACACCAAAGGGGGTGGGCAGGGGGTGGTCTCTCAGCTCGGCCGCTATCCACGACACTGGCGCAAAGCCTAGCAGGCGTGGCACTTTCTCGACACCAAAGGGGGTGGGCAGGAGGTGGTCTCTCAGCTCGGCCGCTATCCACGACACTGGCGCAAAGCCTGGCAGGCGTGGCACTCTCTCGACACCAAAGGGGGTGCGGAGGGGGTGGTCTCTCAGCTCGGCCGCTATCCACGACACTGGCGCAAAGCCTGGCAGGCGTGGCACTCTCTCGACACCAAAGGGGGTGCGCAGGGGGTGGTCTCTCAGCTCGGCCGCTATCCACGACACTGGCGCAAAGCCTAGCAGGCGTGGCACTTTCTCGACACCACAGGGGGTGCGCAGGGGGTGGTCTCTCACCGCGGTCCCTATCCACGACACTGGCGCAAAGCCTAGCAGGCGTGGCACTTTCTCGACACCACAGGGGGTGCGCAGGGGGTGGTCTCTCAGCTCGGCCGCTATCCACGACACTGGCGCAAAGCGTAGCAGGCGTTGCACTTTC